TTAATTTTAATGAGCATATTATTAAAGTGTCAGCCCAATGTATGTCTGTCCTGGGACAAATCAACCAAGTTAAGCATGTCTTTGATAGAGAATTACTTATTACAATCATTAACTCACTGGTGTTTAGTAAACTTTTTTACTGTTCATCCGTCTGTCCACTACATCTGAGGGAAACATTAAGAAACTTCAGTCGGTACAGAATTTTGCGGCGTGTATCATAGGTGGACTCTAGAAGTATGATCATGTGACCCTAATTTTAAAGGAGTTGCAATAATGGATCCCAGTAAAGAAGCATTTATTTTACCGGGACACAGTGCTCACATTTAAGTGTATGATCGGATTGGCACCCAATTACTTGAGCTCTCTATTTACCACAAGGGAATCTGTCAGCAGAAGGACATCTAGACAATCTGACCAGCTAAATTTGCCACTTTTTACAAGTGCAAAACGACAGAAATCCTTGAATCAAAACTATGGAATGAGTTAACTTCTGACATTAAACTATGTGAATCAATTAGGGTTTTTAAATTCAACTTGAAGAAAGAGTTATCAAGACAGTTCCGTATGGACCAATGACAATGTATATGATTTTATATGTATATAACTATACAATTTACTAGATTGAAGAAAGATTTATTAAGATAATTTTAATCGACCATCAATAACAATTTGATGCATGCCAAGTTTTAAATAGACAATGTAAATATAGTTTTTTTAAATATAGTAGCATAGTACTTCTAATTTTACTAACTTTCTATAGTAGTTTTAACCTAATATATTTTGTAATTATTGTAGTATATTGATTCTGAAAAGCCCTTTTCAGGGATGATCAATTATATATTCATTTGTTCATTTGTTCATTCATTCATTCATTCATTCATCCATTCATCCATTCATTCATTCATTCATTCATTCATTCATTCATTCATTCATTCACTCACTCATTCACTCACTCATTCACTCATTCATATATTACAAATTTTAACTCCCCGTTGCTGTTATGTCAGCATTGCCCAAATTTTTGTTTCTCAAAATGTTCAGGGTGCAATTGTCATCAGCAAAAATTTCAGGAATAGGGACATAACTACAACGTTAATTGGGGGTGGATCATATATTCTGCTCTACCCGACCAGATCAGTGTGCCCAACGCATATGTGTTTTCAAAAGAAATCCACATCGGCAAAAAAGAATTAACGCCCTAGTTATGCTCTGTCCGGATTGTATTTTCAATACAATTTGGGAGATCATTGATGTAAATTATAAACAGGATGGAGCCAAGTATACTTCCCTACCACAAGAAGCACAATTTTATAGAGCCCTTTTACAAAATTTGTTTATCTTCCTCACTTCGCAAGATATTGGTAATAAAAAACATCAGCTATCGAGATATATCCGCTATCTTGTTTTATAATGAGATCTAATTTCGTGACGTCAAAGCAGGGTTGACACTTAAAAATAACAATTACATGTTTATGCTTTAGTTTAGAACTCTTACGGTTTAGTTTAGAACTCTTTGAGATACGTGCAATTGTAATACCATGGAACTATCACCTTGCCGGATCGTTAATTTAAAGTCACAAAACACATTTTTACCCAGCTTATGACGTAACGCATATCAGAGCAAGTATATGCATAACCAAAATGGCGCGATGAAAGATAATTTCATTCAAAAATATCTTCAGAAGTGATAAAGTTAACAAAAATCAGTAAAGAATTTTGTACATAATCATGACGTTCTTTTAAACTAGCGAAGATAATTTTTATTGTCATAGCCATTTAAGAATAAATGTGGTGTAACAACTGTCTACTGAAATAGACAAAAAAAACACTTCTCGACCTTTCACCTAAGGGTCTTTGTCGGACTGTCCGGGACAAAGAAACACTTCTCTATGTTTCGACCTAAGGAGAAGTGTTTTTTGTTTATTTAGGCAGTTGTTATACCATATTTGGTGCGAAGTTATTCTTAAATAACTACAATAGAATTCAGGCCCTAATCCCCGAGCTGGTGCGAAGCACCGGGCGAGGGTACTAATTCCGCCCGGAGATTAGGAATTACGCCCGGGAATGCAAATGCGAAATGAAAGTTGTCCGCTATTATGTCATGGACGTTGGGCGTTTTTAGTGCAAAGTTTCTGTGAAACTTTGCAGTATTGTGGTGAGTGGCGAAAATTCACATCAGACAGTCAGACAGTCAATCAGTCATAGTGTAAACTCCGGGGGGCGGAGTGTTTTTATGCGTATAGTAGCTTTTTGTATATAATCAGTAATTTAAAGTTTTTAAATCAGTTTAACTTGCTTTATTTATTAATTCTCTACATTTCTTTTGCTAAGTTCACCAAAATATTGAGGAATTTTGACGGTTACTGTAAATTTTAAAGCATTGCTTTTCCGCGGTTTGGGTTTTGTTTCAAAGGGATTTGCGCAGATTTACCCCCGGAACACCCGATTTTTTCCTATACGTCGCAACTGCGCATGTGCCGTCGAGCCTTCAACATTATTCACGATGTAAAGAAATGAGGAGCGACGAGCATTGCTTCAAAACATTCCAAGCGTAAAAATCGTGCTATTCTTTGAGAATCTACGCAATTTATCAACTTATGTTATGAATTACAAGCATTCAATTCGACACAAATATAATTTGGAAGGTTTATTCCATAAATAGAGCTTCATAAGAGGTTAGGAAGAAACGACGCTGTGTTGTTTATGTATTGATAGATCTCTTACACGAATGACGAATATATATTATGTCGATATATAGCAAGTCGATACCTGGTATTCTGCATACAGTACATAAATGATACTATACAAAACGGACATTTTGTGCAGTAATCAAATCATTTTGGCGGTATACAGTATTGATTATATGTATATTGTTTTGTATCGATTTAGCTACGCGTCGAAGTATCCACATCATAGACATAATATGCACCGCGGTTTATTTACATTATTTACAACGCAACTATTTTGGCTATTCTTATGAAATGACGATAAATTGTTGCCATCATATAAATGTAGTGAATGTAGTCACAGTTGTTTGACGAAGAAAAGAGACTAAACTGAGAAAATCGCGTCCGGTTTACATGGGCAACTAAAATTATAATTTAATAGTGACAGTATCCGCGGCTAACGTAACTTGAGTACTTTGAATAATTTCCTTTTGATTAATGTTTAACCTAGTTCATTATATTTTTACTGGCAAAAGTCAAAATGTTTATGTTGGGAAAACGTGTTGCTTAGGTATTACAGGGCATGAAAACTTTGCACTATCCTTGGATCCCTAGTTGTAAGTTATGCGCATGCGTGAGTTTAAGACGAGTTTGAGCTGGTAACTAACTAGCTTATGATTGGCTAAGGCCTAAATTTTTTTAAACAAAATTACGTGAGTAAATTAACTGTCATTATAATTTGAATTTAATTTCTTTCACAAAAGCAAATTACAAAAACCTTTACAGTATTGTGAACAATTGCTTTATATTTGAAAAACAACACTGAAAGACAATTTCCACGGAAATGTCGGACAATAACCGCATTAGAAAGCAGGAGACGAAAAAGAAGGGAGAAACATATGAGGATAGCCGTGCAAGACAGAGGGAAAAAAGACGAGCTGTGTTAGTTGGTGAAACACCGGAGGAAAGACAGTATCGGCTGGCAAAGAAGAGGGATGCCTATAAAAGAAGAGCTGAAACAAGTACAGGAAAAAAAGGTCATGAGCTAAGAGCTGAAAGGCGACAAAAGATGCTGCAAGAAACGCCAACACAAAAAGAACGTCGTCTTAGGATGCGAAGAGCTGCTTACAGACGAAGAACTGACGAAAGTACTGAGGAGAAACGGGAGATGCAAAGAGAACATAATAGAGCTAATGCCAGAGAAAGAAGGCAACATGAAAGTAAGGGAAAAAGACAAAAAAGACTTGAAAAAATGAGACAACGAGCGGTAAGTCTTTTGGAGACAGGTAATAGTAATGAAATGCAACAGGTACCGCCACAAAATTCTGAGGTAAGGCATGAAAATGCAATAACAGTAGCTAGAGATGAGGTCCTCACCAGTAGTTCAGACCAATATTTACATGAAGGTGGCTGGCAAAATGTTGACAACCCATTGCATGAGCAGGTATTTGTTCAGAATGAGATGCACAGTTTTCATTTAGATCAAGAGCATTTAGAGCATCGCCAGTGTACAATTTGTAAAGAGGCTTGGCCAACAAGGCAAAACTTGGCAGCAGATCCCTTTGTTTGTTACCGCTGTCAAAGAGACAAGAAGTCCCCGAAAAATTTCAGTGCTGGCAATGACATGGACCCAGGTATTGTTCCTGAGCAGTTGAGAGGTTTGACACAAGTAGAGGAAATGCTGATTTCAAGGGAAATGCTGATTTCAAGGGTGTGCGGAGACGTGGTGCTGATCAGACACATAAAGATTTCACAGTTCGTCGACACAAGGTGTTTGAAGCTATATTGTGGTTGAAAACAAACAATCCATTTTTCAAAGACATTGAAATTGACAGGGATGTTATCCAAAGTCTACCAGAGAATGGTATCCCTGAGGAGCTAAGGTATGTTATTGATGACCAGGAACTTTTAGTTCATGCAGAAAATGAGGGGCCCCCACAAGAACCTGAAATGAGTGCAACAGTTGAAGAATTAGTTTTAGGAAATGGCAGTACATCATTTATTCCTATGCGTCAAAGACAAAGAAAGGATGGTGCAGCTATCCATGATGCAGTGAATGAGGTTGACCCTTTGGACTGGCCATCTACAGAAGGTAATGCTGTTAATGAATTTAAAACAGATGGTTTGGCAAGCATGGCATTTCCAACACTATTTCCCCATGGGAGAGGTGACCCGACAAACAGAGTCAGGCAGCATGAGGTAAGTTTGGCAGAGGCATTCAAACACCTGATGAAGTTTGCAGAGAGGCTGCCAAATGGTAAGTTTGAATGGAGGTTTGCCTCACATCCCCGGTTCCCATACTGGGCTTGAATATGAAGCAGAGGCATCAGCTGTTGTCACAAGCTAACATTTACTTGCGGCAACATCCAGCGGATGCAAACATGACTATGGAGGAGCTGAAAACAATGGTAAACTCTATGGGTGCAAATCAAATGGTAAATCGTTTGCAACGTTATGTTTCAAAAATTCAAGGAACAAATCAGTATTGGTATCAGAGACTGCAAGAACTCTTGGCCCTGATTGAACAAAAAGGTTGCCCTACCTTTTTCTTTACCTTTAGTGCAGCTGACAGCCATTGGCCAGACTTGCAAAGACTGTTGCAAAGTAATGAGGGTGCATCAAGAACAGAGAGAGCACAAGCAGTGATAGACAATCCGCACCTGACAGATTGGTTCTTCATGCAAAGGCTACAGGAGTTTATCAAACATTGGCTTCAAGGTGTCTTGGATGCTGAATGGTTTTGGTATAGGTTTGAATATCAGGCCAGAGGAAGTATACATGCTCATGGATGTGCTAAATTAAAGAATGATCCAGATATTCGGTTATTACGTAAACGTGCATGTAAAGCAGTGCTTGAGAAAGAGAAAGAAAATGAAATGTCCCCTGATGATTTTGAATTCTCTTGCCAGGATATTGTCAGAGAGGGTCAAGATGCGGAGAGAAAGCTAATTAGGTAAGTTTAAATCATCAAGTATTAATGGTATGTTTAAATTACACTCACCATGCATATAGATTGCAAAGATTGTGTCCAATGTGTGCTGTGGAACATTTATAAGACTTTTTCCAGACTTTTAGCCCACTGTATACAGTTAGCATCAGTGGTTAGCATACTATACAAATGCTGCAATGTTGCAAATGTCTAAAAATACAACTTCCACATACATTCACAAAACAAAACAAAATTCCGTATATTTTCTTCAGGAATTGGTAATTCCTATTGTTAAGGAATTGGGAGTGTAAACAGCAAATATGAAAAAATATACAAATTAGGTATTAACCAATTTGTTACTTTTTATCCCTTTTAAAGTTATGTTGACTGGCTTGTGACCACAGTTAATGATGATCTGCCTGATGAGAACTGGACAGTACCAGATCCACACCCTTCTGCGGTGAAAGCCACATCAGTTGATAATCATGATGTTGATTATCACAGGTTAGTAAATTCAGTAGAGAGGCACACCAGATGCAGTCCAGCGTATTGCCTGAAAAAGAAGAGGGTTGACCTGCCTGCAGAGTGCAGATTTGGGTTCCCAAAACCATTACAAGAGGAAACTGCGCTGATTTATGAGGTACGAGGTAAGAAAAATAAATCTGTACACTCAGAGTTGCAAACCAAGAGAAATGATGAGAGGCTGAATTCACACAACAGGGTCATGCTTGAGAATTGGCGGGCCAATGTGGATTTACAGGTAATTGTGGATGAAAAGGCATGTGCAAGATATATGGCCAAGTATGCAGCAAAAGGGGAACCACGATCAAAATCTGCTTCTGACATACTGAAGTTGTCTGTATCTTCATTACAGAATGATGACCAAGTGTCTTCTGCAATCAAGAAAGCAATGATCAAGTTGCTGGTGATCGAGACATGGCTGCTCAGGAGACTGCCCATATGTTACTCAGTTTGCCTTTGGTAGGCTGTACGTATAGTTTTGTTACTGTTTCTTTAGAAAACATAGAAAGTGATCCTTGATGCAGAAAATCCACAGAGGAAGTACTTCAGAATTCTGTTCTTCAAGATTATGGAGAGCGGACAAAAGTGGAGAGTAGGTATAGGGGGTTATCTCAGTTGAATTTGATGCAGTATGCATCTCAGTTCACAAGAGTCAGAGGTGAGTTGACAAAACGAGTGAATCCTTATATTGTCAGGACATTTCCAAAGGTTACAGCCAATCCTGGCAGCCCTACCTTTGGAAAATACTGCAAGTATCAACTCATTAAGTTTAAACCATGGGAAGATAAGTCATCAAATGCATGGGACAATATGGAGGAAACTGATGATATGTTTATTAACACATATGCTTCATTTCTTCAGACAGATTTTGCTAGAGACAATGTATTTGGGTATTCTATTGAAACAGAGATGGTCCATGCTGCACAGACAGATGAAACATATGGAACTGATGAAAGTAGTGATGAAAGCGATGACGAACAGGATCAACCTAATGAGGAAGAGCAAATTGAGGATTGGATGTTGTTATGTAGACTCAACCAACATTATGAGGATGCAGGAATCAAATGGCAAATAACGAGGCAGTGGATTGGTTCGAAGCAGCAAGAGGTGTGCCTGGGGATTTGTTGAGAGAATCTGCTGGTGGATTTCTAAACAGAGAAGGATGCAGAGGAGCAAGGTATGCAGTATCAAACAGGTGACCAACAAGTGGTGGTTGACCCAGGGACCTTGAATGACAAACAGGACTGGCATTTGACATTATCACTGCATCCATGGCTAATGATGAATGTGAACCACTACATATGATTGTAAGTGGTACTGCTGGCACAGGTAAGACATATTTAATTAGTGCCCTAAAGCAAGTATTGCAAGACCAATGTATTGTCACAGCAACCACTGGAATTGCTGCATTCAGTATTGGTGGTCAAACTTTGCATTCCGCAGCTCAACTTCCGATTCGGGAATACAGAGAATTACAGGGCGATTCCTTACAGAGATTGCAGCTCAGATTGGAAGGTAAGAGGTTTCTCATTATTGATGAAATGTCAATGATTGGACATAAGATGCTTTCATGGCTTGACAACAGACTACGTGCAGGTACAGGAAAAGAGGATATCCCATTTGGTGGATGTCGATTATCCTAATGGGGGATTTGGCCATTACCTCCTGTAGGCGATAAACCAATGTACATTGCAGGTAATGGATCTGTAATCAGTGACCATGGTCACAGTATGTATTTAACATTTGATTATGTAGTCATTTTAGAGCAGGTCATGCGACAGATTGGTGAAGACCCAGAAGTAGTTGCATTCAGGGCGCTATTGATGAGAATGAGAGATGGACAAGTTACCGAGATGGACTGGGACTATTAATACAGCACTCCAGACCTAACGTTTCAATGGATCGATTTAGTGATGCTATCCGGCTGTACTTTGATAAAAAAAGTGTCGCTGAATATAATTATGAAAGTTGCTAGAGATTGGACAACCTTGGTCAAAATTCAAGCAAGGCATTCTGGTCGGGTGCAAGTGCGGCAACCTCTGATGAAGCAGGTGGTTTGGAAGCTGTCCTCTTTTTGTCAACCAAAGCAGAAGTGATGCTGACATGTAACCTTTGGGCAGAAGTGGTCTTTGCAATGGCTCTTTTGGAACTATTGAGCAATTTTGGTTTGCAGAGAATATGGGTCCACCAAATCTACCGATTGCAGTACTGGTTCATTTTCCGGCATATTCTGGCCCTGCATTTCTACAAGAATGTTCAAAGTGTATACCTGTGCCTCCAAGACTGTTTGAGTGGATGGCGGATGGAAAGTATTTGTCAAGACAACAATTGCCCTTGCGGCTGAGGTATGCAATGACGATACACAAGTCCCAAGGACAGACACTAACCAAGGCTGTTGTTGATTTAGGTAAAGGGGAGAGAGTTGCTGGCTGCACATTTGTGGCACATCAGGGTAAGATCAATTCATGATATTGTGTTTGAACCTATGACATTTGATCGTCTGAAAGTCATTGGTAGGAATAAAAATTTGAAGAAGCGACAAGAAGCAGAACGACGACTTCGTGTGCTTGCAGAAAAGACTGAGCAGAGGCATAAGCATTGAATATATGCATATAAGGATATGGATTGTATTGTAAGTTGTTATATCCTTTTGTTTAATGATACTGGGCACCAATGTGCTTTCGAGGAAATCATAGTCGCCTGCTACTAGACACAATTTTAGAAGTGAAGTTTGTATGTCTTATTACAACTTTGCCTCTATAATTTTGTTTTTGAGGATGGCAATGTACTGTACATGTGTCATATTGCCTGTTACTATACATAATATCAGGTATTATGCTTTTGAGGGTGGCTGTTGACATGTACACTATATCAATCAGGTAAGTTACCTATTTACAATAACAATCAATGAAATGAAAACCACAATACCATCGCGCGGGGATATTTCGCGATTTGCCTGGTAACAATAATAAAGTACACGCAAAATTCACGTATAACATAAATTTCAAAAAGAGCGCGAAAATATCCTGCCGATATCCTGCTGTTTTTGGACTGCGGTAAGTCTTTTTCAAAATAAAAAACTTTATAAAATATTAAACATTTCAAAGTTCGCTCGAATAAATTATCATATACTACTCCACAGTCGACAATTTGATTTACCAATTTATGCACAGATATTTTAGGGAGAAACTTCTGTATCCTTTTTATTGCATTTTAAAATTGGCATGTTTTTCCAACGCCGACGCGTATTGTCTTTTGTGTTTAACTTTTCTCAATAAACTAATGAAACTATTGTATTTTTTATATATTTTACAGCTACAAAAGTCATAAATATTATTTTAAAAATGTAAGTTTGCTATTTTAATACATTTCTTTTCTCAAAAATAACATTTCAGTAGCTATATTGAAGGAATTTTAAGCTTGCCTCGAGTATACAATGTATTTTAACCGTATAGTTCTTTTGAAATAGTATTAAAATATGTTTACTCAATATATTTTTATGTTGATGGCATATAAGATCATCTACAAGGAGAGAAAAAAGTAAGATTCAACCTCTTTTCTACCAGTTTACAAACCACTTTTCTCATGGTTGTAGTGTAATGGTAAAAGTTTTTACTGTTACTGATTTTTCTATGTATTTTAGTGGAAAATGAAGAAGAAGTACTTGGTATGTTTACAGATAGGCACTTGGCCATATATAAGTATACATAATTTGTGGTAACCTTTTCTTTTCGCACATGACAAACATGCCATATATATGAAAGATAGATTCATTCTCAAAGACATAAATCAATTTAGTGTGGCCTTTATAATACTCTGGCCATATTTATACACATACTGTAGTATAAATTTAGCAAAGTACTAAATATTGATTAAAGATTTTGCCTCTTGCATTTTAGAAATTGAAGTTGATGCAGAGGGTGATGAAGGTAAATAAAAAATATTCAAAGTATTAATCTAATTCATTTGTCGCACTGTTTTCATTTTTTCTCACAACAATGAAGTGTATAATACATTTTATATACAAATTTCCCTTCACCATAGATCTAAGAGAAGCAGAGCAACCTGCCGTGGCAGTGGATGGGCCAGGTGAGCAATCCTGTAGCTCCCCCTGCACAACTAAAATACTCTCATTTTATCACAGTAAATCCTGTGCCACCACAATTGTATCAACAATGTATGCACAAGTTTACATTATTATTGACTTAGCCATATATAAAGAATATATATATATATATATATATTATATATATATATATATATTATAATATATATATATGTATAATTTGTGGTATATAACCTCACATTTTTGTTATCCGGTACAGATTTTCCAATGAGCTAAAAGACCACAACCCAGCTCAACTTAATTGCTTCCTTCTTTAATTTCACGTACAACCCCCCCCCCCCATTTTGTAAAAATGTTGTCCTTGTGGTGGATGCATGAAAATCACATCTATGTATTTTGTTCATTATTGAAAATCACATCTATGTATTTGTGTATTATCACGCCGGGCTGGAACACCTGAAAATTCGGCCACTTAATTTTTAATATTATTAATTCGAGATAAACAACTGGGATAAACTTGTTCGCCCGCGTGTTTCTACCTAGAAATCAATATGGCGTCGCTTATTGTTGACTTGCATAAACTGACAAATGATTACATAAAACAAGCAAAAAACAGAGATGTAGCCGGTAAAATATGCTCTGAAGTCCTCGTTCGATCTAAAGAAGTAGTAAAGAAATACTTGTGGGAAGGAGAGGACGCTTGCATGTTTTATGTTGCTCCCTTGTACCCAATTATATCGAGAGAATTACTGCGATGGAATATTATTGTCAAGAGAAGAATGAAGGCTATAACATCATTAGCTCGTCCTTGGAAAGTATGCTTTTCCCGAAACATGGCTAAGGAGGTTTTTGATTTGCTAAAACTGACAATTTTGAAGGGAAATTTTGGTACCCTGGCAAGGAGCACACGGTGTGTCGACAGTGTCGAGGTTTCTCTTGCTCATGCTTGGATATTGCGTATCGTCAACAAAAACAATTCTGTTGTACAGGAAGAGGATCTTTTCTTTAAACGTTTGAAGGACGGTTCCTTTTGCAAAGCAATTATTTTACCAACGAAACCACTGCTCCTGACATACTCAAATCCCAAGAACAAATCAAGGTTATCATGTCCTATGGATTTTGGAATGCCTCTGGTATCCCTCAACATTTTGTAACATACTATGTGAATCTATCTGTCTTGTTTTCTATATAAGTCTTTGCCTGAGCTTTCGAGGAACTAAACATTTGGTTGTGTGATGCTCGGAACCAACTTTGTGAACAGTTCGTAAGGTGTGCAGCAGTTATTTGTGATCCTATGTGGACCCAATCTTAACATGATTACCCGGTTATACGCATGGTTAAGTGGGATGTTTAAATGAAAATAGTGCATTAGATACTTTTTTGTTCATTTGTTGACAGCACAGCATTTTAAACAAATAACATAGTGTAATATATAGTTGCATTGGAATATGATTTGATTTTTTGATTATAATAAAGACTTGAACTAAAAGTAGGGTGGGTTAAATTGCAATGTGCCCCAGTGCACTCTCTTATTAAAACAGTCATATATAACTCCCCCCTGCCAAATGCCCTTGCTAAACCACTTCTTGCTAGGTTATTTCATAAAAATTCTTCTGAACACATAAAATTTAATGAAAATATCGCGAAATAGATATTTACAATAGCATGACAACACATGGCAAAAATGCCACAACTGTATGGTATTATTATACCAGTATTAACTCAAGATTAGTCCTAACAACTTAGCGTATGCGCAAGTATTTTTTCTATGTTTAAACATGCATACTAATAACAAAATATGGGTGTCAACATGTAAAGCCAACTTTACGCTGTACTTGTAATCAGTGTATTTTCTAAAGCTCCAGATATAGCACTCCTAGTAATTGCTTTATGCAAGGGCGAACAAATACAACACTCTCTAACTTGTTGTTCCAAAGGAAAACCACAGTAGCAGAAGGTATCTAAGGCTATTTCTTTAGGTATGTAACAATGCTCATACTTTGTATAGGTAGTATAAGTGGGATCTTGCTTGCGGATCCAAACATTGGCAATGAAATCACGCCGCAAAACCATGGCCCACCGGGTAGTTTTTGTCGAGTGTTTAGCAAATTGGGAGAGACGAACATGCTTTGCCTCCCTTCCCTGCATGCTATTTATGCCTAAACCCATTGCATATCTCTGATACAGAATTTCTAAATGTGTTGGTATGGCATACCCTATTGTCTATACTGTTGGTGTAACTGACCTTAACATAAGTGCATATATATTAAAGAAACATTGACATGCCTGTTTACATTTTTCAATTTCGTCTTCCTTAATGAGAACACGTGAATAGTAGGCAGTAGCATCTCGAAGCTGTATGCAACAGTAATTCAAGGCTGAAATTTTCTGTTTCACCTCGGGGGGTCATCTTTATCACTAAGGCAATGCATATAAATGCAAATTTTTGGCAAAATTGTTTTGTTTCTTTTCCAGTGAACCGATAACTGAAAGACTTCTTTCGACCTTCCTTAAACCAGTGCCTTAGCTTTTTAACTAGCCTGGTGACATGTAAGGTGTCTTTCAGTATTGTTAAAAAAACAATAAACTTGCATTCACTAGGTAAACTATCAAGTTCTGTGACACTAGGGGGGATCTTTGACTTAGCTATAACAATTTCCAACATTATATTATGTAAGTTACCCCAACCATTGTTACTGTTGTGGAGTGGCTCTGCAAATCCATTATCAATAAGGTTGCCTAAGATGGGTTTATGCTCTTGTCTAGAATTATGCTCTTTAATGAAATTCAAAAGCTTATTTCGTTTGTTTGCATCAGACAGCTTACTTTGATTTAAGCTCTCCCTTTTATTGGCAACAAGTTCAGCAGATTTAATGCGCTCATTGTAATCCCATGGGTGCCATGTGCAAGCAGAATCTTTGCCTAAAGACCCATTTGTAGTAGCTTTGTTACTTTCGTTTACATTCCCAAACGGAGAAATAGTACGCAGCATTATTAAGTTCCCCTGACATAATGGAAAGCCATTTCATGTCACTGGGGATTAGTTCTATGGAAAATCTTACTAAGTAACCAGCAACAGTGTAAGATTGCTTTTCTATATCTGAAATTTCACTCACTAACTTTTTAGCATACCTTTGCATACCAATGTGGCCTTCAGAACAGTTTGCCCCACATATGATAAAATTTTCATTTTCACTTTGAATGTGTTTTGCTGCGTTAATGAAAGAGACAAGCCATGCTGTAGCCTCTTCCTCCTTGCTGAAAGGAGCCCATCAGCCCCTAATGCAATCCTAAAGTGATATATTGGGAGACTTCCAAAATGCCTAAGGAATGAGTCAGGCCCTAATGCTTGATCAATTAAGATATACAACTCTGCTAATACTAAAGGTAACTACACAAATCTCTATAAGACCCACTGACTGGATCTTCAAAGGCCTCTAAGCCTTGACAGAAGTCATTAGAAAAGTTTTTGATATTGTCAATGTCGACAGACTTAACAAATGCAATAAGCTTATCATAATATACAAGTTTTGCACTGCTCACTGAAGGAGATGATTCTGTGCATGGTACTGAAATAATGCTTCGACATATAGCTTTGTATTTTTCCTTTGAGAGAAGTCCTTTTGTGTAAAGGACTTTCAAGCTTCTTACCAAGTTACTGTGACTCTCTTCATACTCTTTAGTTTTGGTTTTAACTACCATTGGAATAATCTTTTGCATTTTGGGTGATGCCTCAACATATGAATGGAGTTGTTTTCTGGAACATTCATTGATGAATGTCACCCATAAACCATCAAGGGCAGCTTTTTCACCTGGACAAATTATAAATGGAAAAGGATATTAAGTTTGAAGTTTGAATGTAAATGTCGAAAAAAGGAAAATCAGCAAGTAACATTTAATTACCAACACTAAGGGGTTGTTTACATCACAATGTTCTAACCAGGCCTAGCACAATTAACCTGGCTGATACAATATATATAGCCAGAATGGATCTCATAGCTAAGACACCCAGCCTTATTCTACTTTCCTTGAGAAATAAAATTTATGTTAACCCATTAAGTGCCAGTGCTCTCCCCTCGACTAGTAAAATTTTCTGGCATTAGACAGACTAAATACTCTGGCATTAGACAGAGTAAATGCTAGATGTAGGGTGTATTAGGGTGCAATGTCACTCAATGCGTTAATGGGTCTGCTTTGCTCAGACCCTGTTTGAGCCAACAGGGTGGCCAGTTGGCCAAGGCCAATGCAAAAAGCCCCTAAATTAAAAGTGACCAAATATTTACTAGGCAGAATAGACAATGGAATATATTGTTTACTAATATACTAAAGTATATTTCATACTTTAACTGATACTATAACTACCTTCACTGCTTCCATGAATAACTTTAGAGGCGTCTAATGTTTCTTTACGTCTTCTTTGGGCAGACCTTACTGGTATTTCCAAGCATAGCTTCTCAGAGTTGTCAGCACATAACTTTGATGGTGTCATCTGTCTCATTGTTTCCTTCCTTTTTGAAAAGCCTGCAAATGTTTTTGGTTCGAGTCGCCTTCGTTTTTCAGACAACTCCTTCTCACTTAGACTTAGATCAGCTAACTTCTCTTGATGGCGATCAATCTACAAATTTAATTATATAAAAAGTTCTACACAAAGAAATTATATTAATTTTCCATATATGTCAATATTGGCTAGAGAGGGACATAGTTATTAGGCACGATTTATTCATCCTTATACTTCAACCAGTGAGAGCACTTTTTAAACAATGCATAGACTGTACGTACACATTGCACAAATACAGCGCATACCACTGATGCATTATATCAAATTTGCTGCACAATATATTTAAGCATTTTACAAATTTTGATAGTATAGTATTTACTAATAAATTTTACTCACCCTTTTCGACATTTTATCAATGTCATGTTGAACAGAATCTAGTTCGTTTGCCAATTCTGCACGTTTAACATCAGCTGCAATGTAATTTTCTTTCAAAAGTTTTCGCTTCCTCGCGAGTTCGCCAATTGGGAATCGCTTCCATGATGCAGCTTTGTCAGAACACATCATTCGCAAGAAAATATGGAATGATTATAATGTTTGATCAGCATGAACTCATCTTTTATTGAACTTTAACCAGAGCTGGTAAATTCTATGGTTTTGATTTTTTGAAAACTAGCCACTAACTGACCATATTTTTAAATTTATTTCCACCGGGCGGCAAGAAGAACACACATGTGTGCACGGATTTTTCGTTTTTCTGTGTGCCCGCCATTGACTTTTGCGAATTTTGAGGGTGTGTAGGTACATAAAGGACCTCAAAGATAAATTTCGTTTATACTAAGCTATCACCTTTTGAACCTCATCGCACCTATTTATAAATTATCCATGGTTTATAGCTCCGCCTCCCTGGCGGCCATTTTGAAATTTTGGCGGTCATTTTGAATTATTTCCCCGACAAACATATGGCTGAATTTTCGGGTGTTCCAGCCCGGCGTGATTGTTTCATTTCAGAAGATCATCCACTCCCCGGACCAAAGGGGAGAGGCTTGCCCCCAGGTATTATTGTATCATTTAATTTTACTGAAATGTAATGTATACCATTTGCTTCCAGATAGCTCAAATTTTTAAAAACTTTTCGTAATCAATTTAATATCCTAATTTACGCGATGTGTCGACCAAGTTTGTTACGTACATTTCAGAACATCATCCGCTCCCTGCTCTTCGGGGAAAAGGCTTGCTCCCAGGTATTAATTTGTATTATTTCATTAGAGTTATTACCTATGTAAACACATAACACTCGATCATTAATGGTTACATTGCAATGATGCTCAAAATGACATCTCCTCTCTTTTAGGTTTCCGTGGACATATTGCAGGTTAATAAAGTTTGATTGACAATGGTCAGTTAATTCACGAATTTAGTTAGCCAGAAGACCAATCATTTCTTGATATTCCATCTTAGGGCGTTGCTACAAGTGTGGCGTGCGGGGCCATCGTGCTCACGCCTGCCAATCGCGTATGTATTCAATATTATGGATTGCCATGTATTGTATAGTCACGTGAACAATCGCAAAGTGGTGTGATGTTGTAAGCATATAACCTTGACTCTAGGGCTAAACATACCAAGCCCGGTGTGACAGAAAGAATTCAGAAGGTCTAACCAAATATTTAAACATTGCTAAAGACGCCGCTGGCCATCACAATGTATGAAAATAATATATATAATGACTTTTTTTTTCTTATAGTGACTTTTTTTTTCTTATAGGGGCTGTTTGTTGGTTGTGTGGCCAGCGGGGCCACACAAGGGTTGTGTGCCCCCAGCGGCAGACTGGGCGCACAACACAAAAACGAGGGCAGCAAAAGCCCTCAATGCAATTTACGAACTGCACGTTTGAGAAGTTTAGTGCTTAAACTTCTCAAACGTGCAGTCTAGGCTACGTTGACATATAATCTCTATACCATCATTGATTTTTAACGTTCAACATCACGCATTCTATACACAAGCAAAATTAACATTACGGGTTAAAAGCCGATTCAATCAAACAATTAATAAGATATCAGCATGTGAAAAATGAGCCAATAATGTTTTCAATCTTAATATCGTTCTCAACAATTCGACTACCCGATGAGAAATCACTGTATGTGAACGTAGCCAAATATTGAGAGTGTTATTTTAACTGTTATATGTAAATATTAAATTTGTTCTGTTTTAAATTGTTATATTTTATTGTAAATACTTTATTTTGTTAAATATAATATGATTTTTACACTGTTTCGGAAATGATGTTGTTGCATTAAGGTCCGGCGAGGGGTCACTGCATGCAATGTATTTCTAGTATAAATTTTATTTTTTTCTTGAAGTACGGCAAGGGATTTTGTTCAAATCACAACAATGATATCTAAATATTTTTTGTAACATCAATGAAGGTAGTTAATGTGTCCTATCTGAGATTCAATGCCTAACTATTAATGCATGCAGATCCTAGAACGATGTGCACATTTTTACATGATTGGTCAACCAATTGTTCCCCCAAAAAAATTTGAACTGATTTTACAAAAAATTCTTGAAATGATGTTTGTTTTTTTTAAAAAGAAAGTGATTTTTTGCTGCGTTAAATAATTACTCGCTTAAGTCTCGGTACATATCACTAAACACCCTCGATTTTGTTGTTGGGTTTGTTTCTAGTATATTCACCTTGTTGTAATAACATTTTTAATAAAATTTGGGGTAATGTAAGAAAATTTTCTTAAACTAACAAATTATCTCTGCGGAACACTTTTCTCATTTTAAGAATATCTTTGAGGAAAAAATTCTTAAGAAAATAATTAAGAAAATTGTTATTATTCTAATAACAAAATTTGGACTAATTTTAACAAATTTACTCAAACTATATACAAAAAAATATGTTTAAATATTCTACTTATCTAATACATTCTTAAGAAAATATTTTTTGAAAAATAAGTAAGTTTAATTTTCCCAACGTTTTTGCAAGAAATTTTAAGAAAATGTTCTTTAAATGATGAACTTTTTCTATTTGTAAGAGTTTTAAACGGCTCGTCGTCAGGTTAACTTACCGTACTTTTACACTAGAGTATTTTCTAGTATACTTTCACATTGCACTTGCTTCTATATCGTTGAGAAGTCGAGAAAATACCTCATTTGCGCGCGTCATAAGAATGGCAACGATATACCGTAGGAAGACCCCAGAATGTTGTACACATTTTTGCACTCTTTGCAGGAAGACGTACCGCACAATGTTGTAAACAGTTTGCACTTCTTTGTAAGACCCCAGAATGTCGTACACATTTTGCACTCATCAGGAAGACACCAGAATTAATGTTGTACACATTATTATATTGCACATGCATTACATAATTTTTTTTTTCTAAGGACGACAAGAAATCTTATTCACATCTGAACAATGATATCTAAATACTTTAATTCTCTAACGTCAATGAAGGTGGTTAACGTGTCCTATGAACACATCATTCTAGGATCCTCATTATTGGTTAGGGATTGAATCTCAGATAGGACTCCTATCTGATATTCAATCCCTAACCACTACTGAGGATTCTAGAATGATGTGCACATTTTTACATGATTGGTTAAGCGATTGTTCTCGCAAGAAAATTTGAACTCATTTTAAAAGAAAATTCTTAAAATGATTTTTGTTTCTTTGAAAAAGAAAGTGATTTTTTGCTGCGTTAAATAATTATTCGCTTAAGTTTCGGTACATATCATCTTTTTTAATATAAAATAAATCTTTCTATTTTGAGAAATATTTTCTTGAGTAATTAGAAATTTTCCCTATTTTAAGAAAACTTTCTGCAAAAATTTTTTTCGTTATGAATATTTTCTGTAAGAAAGTTTGGCCAAAGTAAGAAGATTTTCTTAAACTAAGAAATCATTATCTTTGGCCGTGTTCTTTGGACGAATTATAAAATCGCTCACATTCATACAAACATTTCGATTTGGATTGTTGATGAATTGATGTGTAATATACCAAGAATCTTTGTTAAAGATACTGTCTTTCGTATTTCTAATATGAATTTTCCTGTACGGTCTGGTCCAGTTATCAGTCTCATAAGGCAGTTCAACCATACAAAGCGTATGTACACATTTGAACACAGTTAGTTGGCGGAAGGTAGAAACAACGAAGGTAAGTAATTCGATCATTAAAGCGTGTAAAATATCTGCTCTATTGACCCAGAGGTTGGCAAGCGGTGGGCAACATCCAGGGTAAGGCAATTTTAGGTGCTGTACTTTTGCTATATGTATTTTATAGTAAAAGTTAAAGGCCATTATTTTTGACAGTTATATGCAAAGTTTTAAAGGTGGTCGTCGAGTTAAGTTGCCGTTCATTTACACTAGAAAATAACTCACATTGGAGCTGCTTCTATATATCGTTGACAAGCCGAGAAAATACCCCATTTGAACACGAAAAGTTATGCAATATACCTCCTCAGAGTGTTTTACACATTTTTGCATTCCTCAGGAAGACCCGAGAACATTTTTGTGCCTCCGGAAAAGTGTATTGCAATGAATATAATATATCACTTTGTTTAATAAAAAGTTTTAATCTATTATACACAAGTTTTCGAATATAAGGAAATTGGCCTATACTTTCCTAGTTCTTCTTTATCATCACTTTAAAAAATTGGCTCGATTTTTGTGTCTTCTAGTCTAGAGGGGTACATGCCTGTTTCAATTGATAAATTCATAACGTCTGCTACCGGTTTTGAGATAAAAGTTCTTGCAGCTTTAAGACTAGCAGTTGGACCGGTTGCCTTATTAGTAGGTAATAATGATATTTCCATTTGGATTTCTGAAGGGGTAACAGGATCAAAATAAAAGGAATCATTTAGGCGAGGGATGTTTTAAAAATTAACCGAAGTCATCCTCATGAGAACAAGACCATTTATATTTGATATATTTTGTCCAATGGTTGCAAAACTTCTGTTAAATAGATTTGAAATTTGAGTGGGATCGTTTGTTACACTCCCATCACTTGGTCTTTTCAATGTGGACATATTTGCTTCCTCTTTTGTTATTAATTAGGTTACTTATCCCCTGCCAAGTTCTCATCATATTATTGAGAAATAATTAAAATAGTAATTTGTCTTACCTAGTTTTATTAACGTTGCTCTTTTGTTTCTAAAAAGCTTATACTTTTTTCCTCTCCAGAATAAAATAATTTGTTCTGAATTGTTATTGATTAAAAAAATTACCGGAAAATCATCTTAAGTGGATATTTTCAAAAGCCGCTAGTCGTTTTACAAAATTATATAAATACGGATATATTTGCAAAGTTGTTAAATTTGATGCCTCAGGCACAAATCCGCATGCATGGGCATTTTGTCGACGCTGGCTAAATAAGTGCAAGCTCTTTTCCAATCCTGGGTTGTAACTGATTTTGTATTGTTTATTCTAGCATACCCATCTATCTATTCTGTAAGCACAAAAAGTATTTTATGTGAAAACAAATTTATTGCAAAGTTTGACTGTATTCTTTCCATAATTAGAAATAATTTCCATAATTAAAAAATCAAGCTAAGCCCTTCAAAAAAGAGCACATCAATTACTTCGGTATGAAATATTAGATTTGTAGATTTTTTTTGAATTGGTTGAAAATAATAACATCCTTAATTGTTAGTTTTAATGCAATAATAATCCACTCCAAGCAGCCCTCCCATCTCTTAGTGGAGAATCCATAAAGCTGATAAAGTAAGTAAGTAAAACCAAAAAAATAATATGTTTTCGTTGCTGATCA